GTTTCAGTCGGTAAAATGGTGGAGGAATAATCGATCCAAGTAAATAGGCCTCCACTTCGCTTCATCCGCTACCTTACGGCTAAGTTCTTGTCAGAACTAAGAGCTAATCGTTCTGCTTGGCTGGACACCTTAGCAGTACCCTTCCATCAAATCCCAATGCATATGCTTTGCGTGTTTGGCAGCGATCAGTGAAGTTCGCTTCCTTGTATTTTGCTGTACAATGATGATGATGATGATTGAAACCATTCAGCTTCATTCGAGGTGCACGAATGCGATTTTTTCTCTTATTTTCCCCAAAACCTGACCACACTCCCAAATGATCAACACAGTTTCTTACTCACCGATCCGTATCTTTTCACCCTCGTCATCTCAGCCTCGTCACATTCTCAAGTCCCACAAACCCAAATACTCGGTCTGGGACATGAGATCCTGCGACGACGAACGATGCATTACTCCCATGAACTGTGGTACACAATTTCGGCCGAGCTGTACAAAGTGAATCAAAAACTCGGTGCGGAATTAAACCCGACTGAGGCGGGCTTGGTGCGTAAACAAATCCAATCGTTACGCGATCGAGTCGAAGAGATTACACGCTATCTGCAGGTCGACTTGGACGGTCTCGGTCGTGTGAATCAGTTCGCTGAAACACGACGCACCGGTTTGGATGGACTGGCTGCTATGATTCAACGACGAATACAGCTGATTCAAGTGAGTTGTATCGGTGAATTGTGAAAAATTTTCTTCCAGGCCTAGGTTGATTTCGGATAAAGGATTACTTAGCATTCACTGCTCACTATTAATTGATCCTTGTTTGTGCGTGACTTGTGTATATGTGAGCAATTCACGTATCTCTCATACCCCACTCATCCCGTGCACGAGTGAGCAAGAGTGCACACTGTTTTGCCGGCATATTCATTTGTTTCCGAATCTCTGAAAATTCCTTCGGGTATCCGATACAGTTTCAGTTCAACGGAGTTTGAATAACCATTAACCATGCACTTCCGTGCCCCGGTTTTGGTTGCTGTCTTTTGACTGCCCATTTGGATGAACCAGTAGGAGAAAGTCCGGAAAGTTAAAAGTAGAGTGGAACAGAAAATGGAGCATCTCAGTGGGCTAAGTTTGCACCAATCACCCTGTTTACAACCCTCAGCTATATCACTCGGTGTCTCTAATTACCAGTTAACACGATCTCTAGGTCCCCATCCAGGGAGCCTGACGCGACTTATATGACTGACTCTCCTAGTTAGGGTTTTCATGCCCTAGTGCCCGATCTTATTTTGACCACCCTTGACCTTTTCCCACCCACTACCTACCTCGGCAAACATCACGCGCCGTAGCTACCTATTTGGTGACCTGCGCAACACATGCCCCAACCAACGTAATCTTTGGAGGTCAACCAATTGCTCCAATGGGTGAATGCGGTCACCTAAATCTCTGCATCTAACCTCAGCGTTTCTTGTCCAGTGGTCTCACGGTACTCGTGCAGTGCTGCTGCGGTATCCGATTCCGTAGAAGGCAAAACCCCTCAATTCCAAAGATTGGAATTGCTGAATCACACCACACCTTAGTGCGCAATGTGTACGCATACTCATTATACTGTTCATGTTGTTTTTGTTCTCCATGGTCCGAACAGGGCACTACGCTTACACATCGCTTCTATGGACGGTGCGACCGGCTATTGAACTGCGAGATCATTCATCTCGAAAACATGGGTTTACTTCACCTCCAGCAACGAATTATCTCGCTCATTAGCGCACCTTCAATGAATAATTAATTTGAGCTAATAGTTAGTGACTCCTGACCACGTTATCCAATATTTCCTGTCATCCAGTAGGCTGGTTTTCCGTACACTAATCACGTAGCTTACCAAGATCAGATGTACTTGTCAATCTTGTCATCGGGTATACAGTAATGCACTCAGTGTGTTCTGGCGTATAACAATCTTGTTGCTGAAAATTATCCTTTTCCTTTACCGTATTTTTTCGTGAATATGGTGAGTAAGTGGTTTCAGTCGCTGTCACTGATGGATTTGATTGCATCAGTCATGTGGGTCCGAAACTGAGCCAATGGCACCCCACATCATAAATGGACAACTTAGCGATCGTCCAGGCGTTCGACTGTCTTTTTTCTTGCTAATTCACTGCTTCGGGGTTATAGGTTTACTTTACTATTTTCGCTTAACCTAGTTTAGCTCCTCCACAAGGATATGCGTAATAAAGAAAATAGAGGTACAAATTACACAGATCGACAAATATTAAAAAAGCGCGTTAACCGGTACATCGGTACGTTTCGAATATGCTGCTCTTCTCGTACAGCATCATACCATGAGCTACAGCACAGGCGGGCATTTTGGTGGNTATCAGAAGCTCCTTGAATGGTGTTTTTTTTTGGGGGGGGGGGATATCCGTATTTCAGTTTGTCCTTTGTTTATTCCGTATACGCAAAATAAAAGTTGTAGTGTTCTTCAAGGCGTCTTGTATTTCGGTCTTTCTTTCATTCTCTCTCTATTTCGGAATTGATCCATTTCACAGAACGTCGTCAACATGCTGATACACAAACCAGTTCCGAATAAAAATGTAGTATTTATTGGGGATGGGGTTGTGCTGAGGTGAACTTCATCCCCTGAAGATGGCATTCATTCTGAAGTTCTGATTCAACTTGCTGAATGACTAAACCAACTAGATATGATCATATTTTCTTCCGAATCCTGTAACCTGTAGGTGAGCAATAACGGCTAAATTAGAAGTTAATTCTCAAAGGGAGATGCAGCCAAAATTTTGCTATTTTGGATGTCTATCATCAACCTTAAACCTTCTGCGTGACTGCACCGAGACCGCGGACTGGAAACGATGGATTTGTAAGTAACAAGTGCACTTAAATAGGATCTAATTTGAATTCACGAAAAACAATAAAGTGCGTGTTCCGTAAATACCAAAACACCATTTTCCGTGTTATGAAAGATATCGTAGTCTATGCCTATTGTCTATTCACCTTTTGCCCATTAGGTCTGTACGATTGCATTCGTAGTTAGGGATCAATTAGGTGAGTGTAGTCTCTCGACAAAATGAGGTTCTTGTGAATCAATCAATATTTANCAATATCGTTTCGGATTTGGCTTCATTCGAGTCGACACCGCATAGGTCATTAACTGTCCAGTTGATAGTTGTTTGGTTGGCTAAAGCTCATTGCCAAAGTGACAACAACCTAGGGTGGGAAGGAGATACACCTGAATAGTCTATTACTAAATTTTCTTTTTTCTAATTGTTGGATAACGTTGCCACAGTACTTAAGAGAAGATGGTTTTCCAAAAGCTAGATAAGGTCTGTGCATTTGATCGTCGTTGCCAGATTTCTTTGCTCAAAATTCATCCCTCTCTTTCTAGTTTCAAGATACTCCTCATCTAGGGGTGGTCCAACTCTTCCACTTTCTCGATATCTTATTCACGGGCTGTTTCATCACTGTCATGCGGTGACGGGAAACAAACGGATACGAAACGAAGTATGTAGTTGAGACTGATCCTGAGTTTAATCACAAATCCATAGTGCATCTCTGAGCTCGTTTTATCCGGCCAGATTATTTTGTTACGTCAGTAATTTGAACAACTCGGTATTTTTTACTGTACGAGCTCTTGGTGCGCTCAGGACATGGTTTTCTGATCTAATCTCTCACGCGCATGACTTGTGGACTATTCACACCTGACTGCTCTCATCACCATTCGGATTTCCATTCGATTTGTACATAATAATATGATCAATTTCGTGCCTTGTTTATCTGAATTAACTCTTACATGGAATACTACACTCTGTCACACCTCACTTTCACCAAGTCCGTCGATTGAGGTAGAAAAGTGCTTAGTCTATTAAGATTTAGATCGTGAATCATTTCATATAGACCGGATGATACTTTGTGTTTCGATGTTACGACACAGAAGAAGCTGCGCTTCCTTACAACAAATGAAGCCGAAAGTAGTCAGTTTGTTCTTTTCCAAACAGTTATCGTCTAATTGTGCTTCTTACTTGCCTCAGCCTTGGAGGTTACCTGTGGACAGTATGCATATGAACTTACCGTGCTAGCCTATTTTATACATTCGCAATGGGGTTCAACTTCGGGATGTAGGCCGGACAGTCCATGGTCTTGGTATTCCTCTGCAGAATCCACACACACACGAAATGAGCCGCAAGCACAAGGGATTTGTCGTGTATAATTTGCAGCCATTTTTCTGTAAAGGAGGAGAAGAGAGGAGAAGGAAAATGCTCGAAGTTTTGACGAATGAATGGGTTGTCTGCTTTCCTTCGACCATCATCATCTTAGATCTTCCTTCCAAAAAGCAGATCAAAATGGAGTTCCCACCGTAGGCTTGATAGCTGAATGCCACCTTGGTCTTGTGTGGGTTCGTGTATTGATTTCGTCCCCCTGAATTGTAAATGTGGTGCATGTTGTATGGTGTACTCACCGTTCACTCATCCCGAAGTGTCATGGCCGCCATCACTTCGATGTACGTGTTAACTTGTTTGTATCAATGTGTATAATCCGTTTGTTGCCTTGGCTAGAGATCTTTCGTTGAATTCCGCGTTTTTCTTAAATATTGTCCGCCACTCGGGAATTCCGGTATCCATATAATTGTATGCTTGCAGATTTCCTTGTTCCAACTTCGATAGCCTAGAAATACGTGCTTTAGCGATTGACAGGTTCATGAACTCAGCGATAATACGTAACATTGATGATCGTCGTTCACCCGTGGTATGAGTATTATGCATCTTTTCATAACTGGACATCAGCCAACACTGCTCAGGCGAGGTATTTAGTGCAATTAAGTATAGCGTTCAGCAAGTAAATTCAAGTCCAGAAATTGCTTTCGTATACTGTTGTTTTGTTGGATTGGACGATACGACCGGACT